GTTTAATGTAAAGGAAGAAACTTCCTAACAGTTACTGCGGTGCAAGATAAGAGCCGGCTGCCTCAAAAGATAGTGAGTTCTTTCCATCCCTGGAAGTTCTCAGGGTCTGCCTCACCACTCACTGAGGATGCTGCATAAAGGCTTTCCTTTCAGGCATGGACTGGACTAGATGCTCCAGCTGTGATATTCCAGGGTTCCATGCCCCGGAAGTGTAGTCTTCTTTCTGTTGCATTAAGCTTGGTGTTGAGCTTTGATTTCCTTTTCCTCTGTCTGCTGTTCACGCAGCACAGTAGGTTCTTCTTTTCTTTTTGAAAAAAGAGTTATGCAGACTACGGCCACATAATTTTTTTCCTTTCAATATTATAGATTATACAGGAATTATCATTGCCAGGACTGTGTTCCTTTTGGTCTTATGCACTAAGACACGGAAATAAGCTTGATCTCTAACGTTCCTTCTAGCATTTCTATTCTATGTTATAAATATTCTATTTTTATGATCCCTTTTCATTTCTATTATTCTATGTTCTAAGGGCCCTTCCTACTCTGACATTTGATGACTGATTCCAGTGGTTTTTAACTTTTTATCTACTCTGGTGGGATTTTATGTGTCTGTCAACTTTCAGGAATATTAGGGAAAGCAACAATTTTAGTAACAGATTCAAATGGAAACTTTTGCAACATAGGCAAATTTGGAAGCAGGTAGGAAATTCTAAACATCCTTCTTCAAGTCATCAGTTCCTTTGTAAAGCCCCAGTGAAGTCACGTTCTTCTTTCATAATCTCAGAAATTGTGGGGTTTTTTTTTAACTAGAGTTATCTGTTATGCTTGAAATGAGCAGGATTTTATTGTTTTTAGTTTCTTCATCTATAAAATGGGAATAGTTCTGCCACAGCTACCTGACTATCTTATTTTAGCTAAGCTCCTTGAAGTTCAAGGTGACAGGAAGTGATTGCTTGGAAAAGTTTTGACAAAGCAAGGATAGTGATATTAATTATAATAACAGCTAACATTTATTTATATAGGTCTTACAATGTGTCAGGCACTGTGCTAAGAGCTTTGCAATATTTGATACTCACAACCCTGGGAGGTAGGTGCTATTATTACCCCCATTTTACAGTTGAGGAAACTGAGGCCAGGAGAGGTCAAGTGACTTGCCCAGGGTCACACAGCTATTAAGTGTCTGAGGCCTGATTTGAACTCAGGTCTTTCTGACCCAGGCCTGGAGCTTTATCCCACTGTGCTATTTTAACTGCGCTCTCTCCCTCTCTCTCTCTCCCTCCCTCCCTCTTTCTCTGTCTCTCTCTCTCCCTCTCCACTTTATACAGGGAAGGAGCTGAGCATCCAAGAGCCTTGGATGTTAAGACCTGTTTCCTAAGGTTTAACCCGAACAAGCAAATACACACAAAGAGCCTAACAGACTGAAGTGACGTAAGAACTGAAGCTCAAGTGTCTTTTGCTTTGGCTACACATTTCTTCCCGGTGGTTACACAAGACTGACAAAAGTGTCAAACACGACTGCATAGCTCCCCCAAGGGAGTAAAATTGTGGCTGTGGGGTTTCTTCACCTGCATTTCTGGAAGAGAACAACAACCACAACAATAATGATAATAATTCCCATTTCTTCAATGCCTTGGAATTTACAAAACACTTGACTCAAGCCTGTGAAGGAGGCAAGGCAAGTATCAGATAAAGGTTAAAGGAAGTTGTGCCTTGCCTATGGTTACACAGCTGGTAAATGGCACAGGAAGAATTGGAACCTTGGTTTCCTGACTCCAAATCCACTAAACCAGGCTCACTGGAATGAGATAGGAGAGCTCACTTTGGCTAAATGGAAGATGGGCCTATGGAAACAGAAAGGACCTCCGATATCACTTATTGTATCTTCTCTGATGATGACTGTTAAGATTTGGAGGATGGAAAAATCATAGGATTGTTGAATTTAGAACTAGAAGGTACCTAACAGCTCTATCTGGTCTTATCATCTCTTTTATAGAAGAGAAAAGTAAGGCCCAGAAAGGAGAAGAGACTTGCTTAGTGTCACATAGTTACTAAGCAGGAGAGCCAGAATTCAAACCCTGTCCTCTTGACTCCAAATCCAGTTTTTCAGTGTCATAGAGTTCCATCTACCAAGGTATCTCATCTTACTCAATAATAGTGCTTCATATGCCCCAAATAAATAAAGAGGGAAACAATTGTGTAACACTTTATTTTTGCAGACAAAGGGGATGCCCATCAGTTGGGAAATGGATAAACAAATTATGGCATGAGAATGTAATAGAATATTATTGTGCCATAAGAAACAATGAAAAGGATGGATTTAGAAAAACTTGGGAAGACGTTATGAATGGATGCAGAGTGATCAGAACCAAGAGCACAATTTGTACAAGGACTATAATGTTGTAAAGTAGAACAAATTTGAAAACTTTAAGAACTCTGATCAATACAACATCCAGAGGACCAGTGATGACACATGCTTCCCACCTCTTGACAGAGATGTGATGGACAGTATGACACATACATTTTCAGAAACATCCAATATATGGGTTTGCTTTATGTCAGTGTTGGCACTGCTGCCACTGGCTCTGGAAGGACTTGGGGGCTACAGGAGAATTGTTGAATTCTACAAAATTAGATTGATTTACTTATTACTCAGCTGTTACAGCTCCCATTGACATACTAGCTCTCTCTACCCCAGAAATGCCTGTCATTTCTGTACTGGTAAAGAAAGCTGAGGGGAGAATTACACATGGTGTCCTCAAGTTAGGGGATGTGAGACTATTGATGTGAGAAGTTTTGCTGGCCAAGGAACCTGTCATGTAATTCAGCTCAGATTTATTAAGCACCTACTCTGTACAGAGCTCAGTGCTATTGCAAAATTCAGATAAGGCGTAGGCCCAGTCTTTATGGACTTTATAGTCTAGTAAGAAAGATAAGAGACAAATAAAGATATCTATGTTACACAATAATAACTTGTATATTAGAAATGCAGAGTGCTTTGTGAAATTAGAGGAGAAGAAAGGTTTATCAACTGAGGAGATCAGGAGGCTTTCTGGAGGAAGGGCCATATGTATTAGGCTTTAAATGATGTGTAAGGATTCAGATGGTAGGATCTGAGAGGGAACAAGTCATGTACAGAGAACAGCATACCTGTGTAAAAGGAATGGCAGATAGCCCAGTTTGACAGGAGGCAGAAGTAGTATGGCACAAAGCTGGAAAGGTTAAGAAAGTGGCAACCACATTGTGGAAGGATTTGGATAAAGAATTTGAACTTAATAAGAATTTCTGCTTGTTGGATTTTCTCTCTTCAGGGCTCAGCTCAGGGTTCCTTCTATTCCATGGAGCCTTCCCTTAAACTTTCTGTCTTTACCACCATCCTGCTTCTCCTCCCGTCAAGTCTTCTTTTCTTTTTTCTTTTTTTGCAAGGCAGTGGGGGTTAAGTGACTCGCCCAGGGTCACATAGCTAGTAAGTGTCAAGTGTCTGAAGCTGGATTTGAACTCAGGTCCTCCTGACTCCAAGGCTGGAACTCTTTCCACTGCACCATTTAGCTACCCCTCTTCTTTTCAATAATAATAATAATAGCTAACATTTATGTAGCATGCACCATGTACTATTATGCTAAGTGCTTTACAATTTTTATCTCATTTGATCCTCACAACAACTTTGGGAGGTAGGTGCTATTATCTCCATTTTACAGATGAGGAAACCGAGGTAAACAGTGGTTAAGTGACATGTTTGAGATCTGAATTTCACTTCCTGACTCTAGGCCCAGTTCTTTATCCCCTGAGCCACGTAGCTGTCCTTAAGTCCTTAAAATTCTCCTAGCACTTTTCCTTGCATCTCTCCTTTAGACTTATCTCACCTACCCTGTATTCTGTGTCCCCTTGCCCCCTCGGGCCCCCCCAACACATTGTCAGCTACTTGATAACTGCTGCAGTCACGAGCTTGGTGATACAGTATTTTCTGTCGTCCTGGGATCAGTCTAGTCAAGTTCAGAAGACTACTGTCATTAGTTTGGACACAGTGTGATATGTTTTTTCTCCCACAACAACTTTAGGAGGCCCATCATTTAAGTCAGAGAGGGGGTGATTTGGAGGAAGTATCCACACTAAAGAAAATCACAAATCCTTGACACAAGTAAAAGGTCTTAGCAAGCACTTTGCAGGTATTCCTGTTGAATCTGACAAAATATAAACACAGAAATTTTTTTTTTTTGGCTAGGCAATGGGGTTAAGTGACTTGCCCAGGGTCACACAGCTAGTAAGTGTCACGTGTCTGAGGTCACATCTGAACTCAGCTCCTTCTGAATCCGGGGCCGGTGCTCTATCTACTGCGCCACCTAGCTGCCCCTAAACACAGGATCTTAAGACTATGGGAAGTCCCCCTGGAATGTGGGGTCGGGAGGCTCCTTTGCCCTGTGGTGTCCCCGGGAGCTGTGACTGTGGCAGGGAAGGATGCTGCCCTGGGGCGGCATGGACAGCGCCCAAGAAGCCCGGGCGCTTTCCTACTGCAGCTGCCCGAGGCGCGCCAGGGGGGCTGGGGGACTTCCTACTCTTTCCAAGATCTGCAAAGGCCGGGCCCCTTCACAAGAGGAAAGGGAGGCCCAAGGAGAGGCCAGGGCTCGGCCAAGACCACGGCGGCTCAGCAGAAGAGGCTGCACTTGAACCCGAGTCCGAAGGCTCTGCTCGTGCCTCCGGGGCTCTCGGGCCAGGGCAGCAGGGCTGGAAGGAGCCTGGGGGCCACGAGTCCCACGTCCCAGAAAGTTTCAGCAACCTGCCCGAAGTCTCGGGCAGTCAACCAGCGAAGCCGAGCCCGGAGTCCCGGTCCTCGGACCCCAGAACCGCTGCGTCGAGATTCGGGTTCGAATCCGGTCCCCGCCTCATAGTGGGGCTCGGGACACAGCGTCCTCCTCTTCATCAGGGCGGCTCAGCGGCCCCGGGCCCTCGTCTCAGCCACCAGAAGCCTGAGCCGGCGCGCGCTCCGGGCCCCTAGCGGCGCCTCCTCACCCCGCCTCTCCCCACCCCTCCCTCCGGCCGGAAGCGGTGGTGCCCGAGGGGGCGGGGCTCAAGGGAAGCGCTTCCGGGTGGACGAGGGGCTGAGGCGGCGGCGGCGGCGGCGGCGGGAGCGGCTGGGACGGGCCCCGGGCCTGGCGGAGGTGGACGCCGAGGAAGCGATGTGAGAGGCCAGCGCCCAGGTGAGCCCCGCGAGCCCGAACGGACAGAGGCGGCCCCGGACCGCGCCGCTGGCCCGGCCGGGCGCTCCCGAGCTGGCAGTGATCCCCGGGGGCTCCGAACTGGCCGGCGGGGGTTCCGGGTCCGCCCCCGTCGAAGTGCGTCCCAGGCTCGGGTCCCCAGCTCAGCCTGTCCCCGGGGGAGGGAGGGCGAGGAGCCAGGATCCGAGCTGCTTCCCCAGTTTGCCCCACTTCCTCGCCTGCCACAGCCGTCCGCGGGGCGGGGAGGGAGGATGGGGAAGAGCGGGCGCCCGTGTTCGGGTCGGCCGGAGCCCGAGGTGGGGAGCGATGGCCGAGAGCGGAGCAGAGATGGACAGGACCGAGACACTGAGTGAGAGGCTCTGGGAAGACTTCTCGGAGGAGGTGGCACCTGGGCTGAGCCTTGGAGAAAGGGGAAGATGTCGAGAGGTGGAGATGAAGAGGGACCTGTCCTGTTTGTGCAAAGGCGCGGAAGCAGGAGATGAGCCGCGTTCGAGGAGTAGAGAAGAGTCTAGTTTGGCCGGAACCTAAATGGGAGAAGGGGAATGGTATGGGGGAACACGCCTGGAAAGGAAAGTTGGAGCCAGATTGTGGAGAGCCTTAAATGCGAAACTGAAGAGTTGCCGTTTTTATCCCAGAGGCTACTTTATGTTCTTGAGCCTGGAACCTTCAGGGTCAGGCCTCCGTTTTAGGGTGATGCTATGACACTGTGTGAAGGATGGATTGAGATTATAGGTGGGGAGACCGATTGAGTGGAGAGGAAGGTGAACTCGGGAGGTACTGTGGAGGTAGAGTCCAAAAATACTGGCAGCCGATGGGCAGCTCATAGACCTTCTCACTTGGTTTTTTGGTCTGGGAATCTGGGCTAGCGTTGATGGCTGGTTTATCCAAGGTGCCTAGGGACAGTTATCCAAGCGGGCAGCTGTTTCCTTGAAAGGGGGAATCCAGCACTCTTCTCTTTTCCCTGGGGAGTATTTAACCTTCCTGTGGGAAGTAAATCCATCTTTATAGATGGAAGGGACCTTTGAGATCTTGTTCCATCCCATCATATTACAGATGAGGAAACTGAGGCCCAGAGAGAGGATGTGACTTGCTAATGTGTCAGAGTTGGGCCTCAAATCCAGGTCTTCTGATTGTCAGTCCAGTGTTTTTTCCACTGCACCATGCTTCTTCCCCCCACCCCTACCCCAACCTTGTTGGGGAATCCTGTTTGAAAGTAGCAAGGGTTGGTTGTTTTTACTGTACCCTGGTCAGGAGCTCTCAAGTGAGACAGAGTTTCTGTGATTATAATTTTAGGTTCTGCCAAAAATCCCTTCTGAAAACCAATGCTGTGATGTATTAGCAACTCTTTTTTCCCCTTCTCCCTCACCTCCCCAGACTTATGCACATATCACAATGATTTATTGGTTACTAGATTTCTCACCTCTGTCACTTGCAGAGATGTTTACTCCTGGCCCAGGTCACAAATATCACATATTTCCCAGAGATGAAAATCATCCTGGTCATCTAACCCCCTGTTTTCACAAAAGTATAACTCTTTGTTTTGAAAGGCTGGAAGACCCATTTTAATTACATATTAATTCCTGCAGACTCAGCCTGTGCTGAAGGTCAGTATGTTAACATATTTTATCTGAATTGTCCAGGAGGTCATTACATCTTGATACTTTTTGCCAAGTAAAAACGATCATATTCTTTCTCTGAGTAAAATCTGTCCAAGATTGGGTGTGCCTTGTCACGACTTTATATAATCACTTTTCCCCTGATACCAGTCTGTCATTTTATTGTGAAGACTACCCTTTGGACATATACAGTGCCTAAAGGAATTGTAATGAGTGTTCTGGGTGCAGTTTAAGAGAGGTGGACATTGTGCAGCTAAGAAAAATTGTGTAATTTTACTGAAAATAGTTGTACTGTGGACCCTTTGCAGTAATCACAAAAAATTCCCTGAGATCAGAGAATTCCAGATTGCTAGGGTTTGGTATTTTTACTCCCTTTCTGTACTTTGTTCCAGTATAACTTGGAAACAAATTGTAGAAGTATTAAAAAAAAATTTTTTTCTACACCTTGGTTTTACCTTTTAATCTATCTCTGCCTTTCATCATATATTATCAGTCTGTCTTGTCAGGTCTTTTTTGAAAGCAGCAGTGAATCCTTCCTCTTGCCTTCTTGCCATAAGCCTTAGTCCAAATTCATTCACTTCACATCTGAATTAGTGTAACAGCTTCCTAGAAGTTTTTATGTATACAACCTACCTTAATCTGGCCTACTTTGTGTATACAATTTATACTCCTTAATCCGACCTTATACAATGCCAGATTTTCTACAGTTAATTAGCAGGTATTTGTCAAAGTCTTACTTTGGCATCAACAAACCTTTTTTTGTTTCCCTTCAAAGCCTAGTACAGTTCTGTGTATACGGTAATAAAAATAATACCTAGCGTTTACATAGCATTTTAAGGTTTGCGAAGAACTTGACAAATACTTTATTGGATCCTCACAACCCTGGGAAGGAGGTGCTGTTTATTATCCCAAATTTTACAGATGAGAAAATTGAGTCAGAGGTTCAGTGACTTGCCCACAGTCACAGAGCTAGTGTTCTATCCACTGTGCAGTGGTTAGAACACTATCCACTAGGATCTTTTCTTAAATTTTTTTTAAACTATGAACTTGACAAACAGTAATACACATGCACATTTCCATGTGTAAAGAACAGAAAAATGTCATTAGGCTCTTAATTCATGCTTATTGAATGAGTGAATAAATGAATGACAGCACTGTGCTACCTTCTACACCTGAGATTTCTCATCTGTCAAATGGGTTTAATAATTGCACCTACCTCACAGAGCTGTGAGGATCAAATGAAATAATAATGAACTTAAAACATTTAGCTATTACTAGTAACTGCATTGTGGTACACAAAGTAGTGTAACAATAGTTCCTGCCTTCAAGAACTTTATAGTCTAGTTGAAAGATGAGATATTCATTCAGAAAGATAATATAAATCAAGATCTGTTCCTACAGAGCCTATTAAAGCTTTATTTCCCAGTCTATACACCTTATTACACTGTTTAGTTTATTAAAAGAGTTGAATGGGGAATAACATGAGTGACATTGTAGTATAGTGGAAAGAGTAATGGACTTGGAATCAGGATTACCTGAGTTCAAGTCCTAGCTTTGACACTTTCTAGCTAGCTAACTCATTTCCTTAACTGGGGCCTCAGTTTATTCTTCTGTAAAATGGAAATCATAGGTCTTTGTATTACTTACTTAATAAGAATGTTGTGATGAAAACACTTTATAGGTCTTAAGGCACTATAGAAATGTGAATTATTGTCAATATATGTGAAAATACCACATACATGTAAGAGTGAGATTTTGCTTATTTTGCTTGTGTCCTTCTGGAATTCCCTTGTTTTCTTCTTCAGAGTTCTTTTAAGCCCGTATATTCTTACTTAAGTGCCTTATTGAGTCCACATAAACTATCTCCCTTTTCTGATTAAGAGATCACCACCAGTACCATTCATTTAAAATCTGTTAAATGTTTTATGTTATTTTATTTTCTAGTTGTTTCATGTGTTCTTGTCTCAACTAGATTGAAAATCTTTTCAGAGTGTATTTCTCCTATCAGCTTACACAGTGACGGACACATAGTTGGAGCTTTAAAAATACCTATTGATTTTATTGGCAAACATTTTTAAAAATTTAACTCCTTTCTTTTCTTACCTTTAAATGAAAAACCAACTAGCATTAGATCTCTCTTGCCTGGTGTTGCCAGTGTTAATTCTTCCTCATCTAAGATTATGAGGCTATTTCTTCCAGCTTTCACACTTTATGGCACAGTGAATGTTAAAATTAAGTGCTTTAATTGGCTAAGTAAATCATTGTTATTCATAGTGTAGACTAGGCTTTTGAGGGATGGTCTGTCACTTCAACAAATGCCCACTAAATCCTTCATGTGCAAGGGAGGATACAGAGGCAAAAATAAAATAACTTCTGCCTCCAAGGAACTCTCTGTTGTAGGAATATAGAACATGACACACATAGTAAATACAAAGGATATGAAATAACACCAAATAATTTTGAGAGGGAGAGAGTGCTGACAGGTGTTGTAGAGCACGGAAGGGCATGCCTGAGCTGTGCTCTGAGGTGGAGGTGAAAAAACTTCATTCCAGACATGGGGAGCCATTTGTTCAAAGGCACAGAAGTAGCATGTGGAATGTCGTGGATAAGAACCACTAGCAGTCCATTTTGACTGAAGGAGAGCAATAAGACTGGAAGGGTAGGTAAGGAGGTAAATTGTGGAGGGCTTTAAATGCCTGGCTAAGGAGTATCTATTTTATTCTAGGAGCAATTGAAGATGGCTACAGGGAGATGTTTGTTCATTCATTTTCAGCTCTGAATAAAGAAAACATTCCAAAAAATCAGAGCTGTGTAAAAATGGAATGAGATCTCTGGGAATGTCCTCCTTAATGGATGTCTTGAAGCAGAAATTAGATGACCACGAATCAAAGCTGTTGTGGAGGAGTGGAGGGAGGAGCTCTGCTCAGGTAACAGTTGGATTAAAAGACTTCCCAGGTCCCTTTCAACTTTTGAAATTCTCTAATTCAGTAAAATGAGAGTGTAGGTCTGCTAAATACTAGAAATGTTGTTTTTTAACAGTTGACTTATTGGGAAAATAGTTCCCTGTTTTTTCCTTTTTCCTATAATTCTAGCTAATACTTGATGAGTAGTTTTTATGAGTCATAAATGTATGCCTACCAAGGTATAGAGTAAATTGACTTTTGGAGTACTTGGGCCTCCGTTTGTCCATTATGGTGTCATTTTTAGCAGGTTTGTTTGCCTGTCAAGTAATTTGACAAAAACATTCAGTTTCACAAACCTAGTATTTTATTTATTTATTTGTTTGTTTGTTTGTTTATTTAATCAGTTTTCATCTTTGCCAAAGCTGATATCAGCCTGGGAATTTTAGATTGTTCAGAAACTCCTAATTGTGCTCCTTTAATGTTTTGTAGTAGTAATGGTTCATAGGATTTAGATCTGTAAAGGAGCCTTAGAGATCCATCTACTTCAATCTCCTTGCTTTAATCAAGGAGGAAACTGAAACCTAGAGAAGTAAAGGGAGTTGTCCAAGGTCACACAGATACTAGCTAGGATTTAAACCCAGGTCTTCTGACTCTAAAGCCAGTGCTCTTTACACTACCATGATACTAGAAGCCACCTTAGAGATTATCTAGCCCAGTGCCTTTAGAAATTGATTTTAGCTTAATAGAAGTCATCTTTAATAGAAATCCACATTAATTTCTAGGGGTTACCGTCACCTAGCTGATTCATATTCTTAGTAGGTGAACAGCTAGTGAGTGAGCCTTTCTGGTCCTTTTGTCATCAAAGGAATGAGTGTTGTGCTATATTTGTTAAATCTAATGCCTCCTAAAATGCCAGCTGTCATAGGGAAGGGGGGAAAAACCTCTTAACACTTTTATTTTGAGCACTGAGTTGATGATCATTTAAGAAAGAACCTTTTTTTTTAACCTGAAACAGGTGTCACTGTT